AGTATTTACGTTGTTTGATTTCTAAATAAAACACATAGGTGATTACCATATATATCCGTGGATATCTCACCTTCTATAGAACTCACTTCATAAAATGCCTGAGTCCCTTCGATTGTCTAGGAGAACACATACTCCGAAAACAAATGAATATTTAACTTGTATATTTGTTGATGATCGTTAAAAAAATGATTACACATGTATGAAAATGGATATGTGCAAATATAAATAAATTTCCTCACTTTAATATGCTAAAAAAAGTTATTTAAGTTCTACAATCTTGGCGTCGTTAAACAGCTCTTTCTAACGCTTCATCGTTTCCTGGCGGCATCGTCTGTTCCCTCACAAACATTTCCGCTTAGTGGCCTGCGGCGAGATTTCATGGTAATGGAAGATATTATCCCAAAAATGTATATATATTATTGCGTGCGGACGGGTTCGTAAAAGATTGAATGCATGCAGGTCCAAAGATAGGTTGATAAAATTTATTTTATCAAAAGAAACACTTCAGAGTTCTGGAAATTTTCAGAAAAATAGTCGTACAACTCTTCACAGTGTGACAGAGTATATTGAGTAGTTACACTTCAAATTACTTAGAACGCTAAACACAAATAATGCAAAGCGCATATAAATAGCGAAGCTAACCCGGAGATGTCGCAGTACTCCGAAATTACATTGAACTAAACAACTGAGAAGGTCTTATAACAACTAAAAACCGGTCTTATATAGTTTTCATTCTTTCGCCGAGAACTATCTAGTACTTTCTGCTTCTCGAAATTAGTGGAAGGCATAATGAGGGCCGAACATGGTTGTAGTTATTTACACAGAGCATCAGTGACAGTTATTCAGTTACAATATCCATTACAGTTATACAGGGACCGGATCGAAATGTCGCCAAATAGTAGTTAAGTTTGGCGATTTCTTGCAAAATTTAGCGAGACAAAATTAGTCTTAGAACTGTTACCAGTTTGGCGATATCTCGTCAAATTAGCCAGATAGTTATAAGGTATTTCTCCCACTTTCTTAGCGTGCCTTCGTGGTGTAGTGGTTTTGCACACTAGGCCGATATTCCAGAGGTCCGTGGTTCGATTTCCGGCGAAAGAGGTCGCTAATTTTTCATCTTGCCTGCTTTTCCAATTAACCGAATATTTCTACATAGTCATTTATTCAACGTTAAATTGACTTTCCCCTGTGTTCTTACTTTTCCGGCAGAGCATCGTTTCTCTCAACTTTTCATGTTACATTATACGGAAAATACAACAATTTCACGAATAATTCCATTAAAATTAGCTATGTAAAAAATTCGTAGCAACATACTATAGTATAATGTTCTAAATGTCTGTATACTTATGCGAATTCATTTGCATCATTTTTTCAATAAATTAATTTAGTTTAAGGGAGGTTTTGAACTTGATTTTTGTTAAAAGGCAGATTTGGCAGGTTTTGACTGCGTATATATTATTAAACAACAGTATATATGAAAACAAAAATTTGAAATCACTTCTTTATTTCTTAGCAGATTTAAAAAAAAAAAATATTTTAAAAATAATCATGCGAAAACAAACAAGAGCCACTATATATATTAATATTCACACATTAGACTACCAGACGGAATTTTGCTAAAAAAGATCAGTGCAGCCCTTTCTATTGAAGTATTAAATCCTTTATTTAACCAAGTCATTTCTAGAAGGTTAAAAGAAGACTTTGTTTGTTACTATCGTAAAGTCGTTTCTTTTTCTTTTAGATAACAGCCTATATATATATCAATCTTCAGGGCCAGGCTATTGTCTGGATTCGTAGATACCAAAGAATGAAAGAAACTCTAAAATCTTGAGATAAATAAAATTCTTTAAGAGAAAAAGTTGTACTGAAGCCGTTATTCAAGTACAGAAAAGATTACGAAGTTCTGCTTTCCTTTTGCTCATAGTATTTTCTTTTGTTATTATTTTGGAAGCATAGATGATTATATGAAATTTAGTTTTATGGCATGAATGCTTCAAATTCTATTTTAATGCAACATTTTATGACGACAGAAATACCTAAAGAAATCAGATATGAAAAAAATACCATTCGATCTCACAGATTCTAGCTTAACACATGAAAGTTGTCGTAAACTGTTATACTTGTAATACAAAAAACGTGGAATCAGTGAAACGCCCAAATCGAATTTCTTTTATAGTGAGAAATATTCACTCGCACCTGTTTTCATATGTATAGGTAAAAGGTAAAAAATATTTTTTACACCCAGCATTTTTATACTTATATAATAAGAAAACTACACAGGAACTGTGAAAATTTAAAATTCTACAGCTCCGCTTTGCTGAAAGTAAATGATATAAATATTTTGCTTTTTTTTTAATAAAATACTTCCCACTGTTGCCCTGTAGCCAAGCTTGAGTAAAATATTTAAAAAGGATGAGAATAATTATAAGATTATCGAAACATTATCGAAATCTCTCTTTTTCTATTTGCTTTTTATTATTGTTAGGCTTTTTTTGATGCGCATAATAGAGTAAACGTAAAAGAGATGAGTTTCCGAACTGATTTTTTTCCATCTCCGCCCCTCTGTAATTCTCTCAGGTTAGGTTATTTTGAAAATCGTAAAGCTTACGAAGGTTATTTCCCTAAAGAATGGGCTACCTTCAAGGGGGGGGAAATGGTTCGTATTCGAGTTATACAAAAATCAACCATACAGCCAGCCTCTTCGCCTAGGATCGAACTCAGGTATAACTTACCTAAGATATAACTTACTATATTCAGTAGTCTTAGCCCTCAGCTACTGGTGGGGGGTTTATTATTCTATTTCCAGTTCATACGAATGATTAATTAGTTAACACAACATAATGTTTAATTTCTGCAAAACTTTCGCCGGTCTGCAACGAAATAATTTTATTTAAACCCAAAAACATTTTTAAAGTAGACTAAATCAAAATAGCTATTATATTTAAGAAACACTGCGCAAGCATTCGGCGAATTTTCTCGAAGCACTTTCAGATGTTATCGAAAATGCCATTACAAAAGCGCTGAGTAGTATTCAAATTTCAAAATAGTCACTTTCGCTACAAGATAGGAAAATTGCGAAACACCAAAATTTGCTTCTAAAAATATTGGTCAATTAAATTTTAAAAGTTATTAAAGTAAAAGCGTAACCACCTTGTTTGCTTGCAATATTTTACGGAAATTTCTCAGTTTACAATTCAATTTGGCAACTTTTTGCAGAACAGCAATTTGCAACTACAGTACGTTATTATATCAAGTATTTTACATATAAATTAGACACTTAGATGATTCCGTATTATCACAACCACTTTAGCAGAAGTCGCCAAATTTTCAAACAGTGCCAGATCTGGCAACCATGTATATAACTATTCTTAAGAGGCATGCTTATAACAATCCTTCAGTTAAGCAGCATCGTCAATTTCTTATGCGTTCTTTTGTCTGCATTCCAAATTCCAATAGATTTTTATGGACAAATCACGACAGTCCTTTCTCAGTCGTGATATTCCTTGCTTAGTTTTAAAATACGCGCTTGTGGAATTTGCTAGTGAGGGAAGGAACTAAGTTAAAATCTCTACATGACGATAGTACACTGCTCGACAATTAAAATGCAACACCAAGAAGAAGTGGTCAGAAAGTGATGAAATTTGGAAAAACAACAGAGACAGTAAGCAGCAATAAGTGATCTTTATTTCAAAATGATAGTCAGAATACAGAGCGAGAACGGCGTCGACTCAGTAGAATAGTGATAGTGACGGAGGACGCGGCCACCACCCTTTACTATTAAGTTAATTAGCATATAGGGCCACGTCCGCCCTTATACAGAGTAAAGCCAGAGAGGTCACATGAGAGGCTTGCACAAGGCGCCCAAACCCAACGCCTGGACTATCCGGTTGGCAGTTCCGCGAACCAAATGCCACCGGGTAGACACCCGTCCAAAGTGCCCGGGTCCAGTGATTATTGAATCTTCAAAAATAGCATTGTACATGGCTAAACAAGGGCAGATATACATTAGTAGCTATTTACATGCTTCTGTTAATACATATTTGCTGACATGCAATCCAGCACTGTTACATACATATACTTTCTAAATACTTACATGACATTACCTTAATTTGCTTTGGAATAATAAGACAGAGCTAGTATATACACCTAGCACAATAAAAATAAAAATAAAATAATAATAATATACATTAGGACACGCTTGCTTACAACTATATACACACACATCGCAGACATATCTAGATTACTTATGCTTGAATGATACTGATTTACATTGAAATTAGCTGATATACTGACCAGTTATACACATGGCATAAGTCTGGACCTACGTCTATTAGCTTATCTACTATATGAGTAATTTTGTTGGTCTGGTGTCGCTGCTTGATTATGAATCTGTTGAATGCCTCCCTGTTCGTTTGCGGGAACGGAATGCGCATTCCTTCCGTGAGAGGACATTTATGAACGTAGGGTTCTGCTGTGCCCAGATCGCCGCAGCAGCACTGATCTGAATTGGAGATTCCAAATCTTTCGAAATATACTGGAAAGGGCCCATGCCCTGTGTAGTATTATACCATTTATGGCCGTGTAACCAGTAGTTCTTTATCTACTTTAGACAGAAATGCATGCGCTCGGCGGCCTGTGTCTTCGTTGTCCCACGCAGCCTGCCAGAGTGCTAGAGCTGTGGCGCGCAGATTCCGTTTTAAATGTGAAACCGGCCATGGGATTTGTACTGGGACTGCTTCGACGTTTTGGGCTGCATCTTTTGCAAGCCGATCTGCAGTCTCATTACCATGATTCCTGATATGGGCTTTCGTCCATTCTAGATTAATTTTTAATTCTTTATGAGCATGGAGGTATTCCTGAATAGCTGCTATTATTGGAGAACTGTGGGTGGGGCTAAGGATGGCGTATAACGTAGACAGGCTGTCTGTTATTATGTAACTATTGTATAGCCTCTGCTGAATTATCGCTTGCAGTGCATAGCTTATAGCTGTGGCCTCGCTTTAGAAGACACTATTGTGCGCTTCCAAATGCCCCTTCCATTGGCTTACTATTCTACCCACTTTATGTGCTGCATATGCACAGCCCACACTGTCGTCTATTTTAGATCCATCCGTATAATAGGTATCATCTAGGTTCGTGGGTCTTGTGGTCTGCTTTAGGTTGACATTAACACCCCGTCCTTGCAAAGACGGGTGCCTGTCAAGGCTGATGACTGCTCTTTCGAGGTTATCTGCAGTAAACACCTCTTCCCCAAATTGCGTTGTTTGGCCGAGTTGCTTGACTATCTGGTACGTAGCTTCCTTCTCGACACTAATGGACAAGGGTAGTATGCCAGCCAGGACTGCCAGTGCATTGGTCGGGGAAGTTCTAAATGCTCTCGTGATATTTAATAAAAACGGCCGTTGGATGCTTTGCAAATGCTTTACTTTTCTGCCCTGCATTGGTAAGGCCCAGGCAGCTGCTCCATATGTCACGATCTTCTCAGTGACGGTGTTATAGAGGATCTTGAGGATATGGGCGTTGAGACCCCAGCGATATCCTTTCATCACCTTGAGCTGCTGAGCGATGCTTGCTGTGCGCTGTTTTAGGGAGAGCACATGCGCTATCCAATTCAATTTGTCATCAAATATTATTCCCAAGTATTTGAGTTTTCGCTTGATTGCAAGTCGTTTCCCATTGAGCGTGATGCGTGGTTGTCGCGTTAGGGAGACTCAGTAGGATGTAGGACCACCGCGGACTGCGATGCACGAAGAAACACGTCTAATAAGTCAATAAGAGTGCGGATGGTGTCCTGAGGGATGGCTCTCCATTCTCTTTCAACCATTTGCCACAGTTTGTCTTCTGAACGAGGCAGGGTCAGAGTCTGCAAACGGCGTCCAATCACATTCCACACATGTTTGATTGCTGACAGGTCCCACCAGCCACAGTGCATTATCCAAGTATCGTTGGGCCGGCCGTCATAGTGACCTGACGAACTAGAGGTGACTTGGAATCGTAGGCAATAGCGCACCAAGCCATTATGCCCCGTTGTTGCGCGGTGGTGCGTTCCACAGTTACTGGCGGATTAGATCTGTCTCCACATCGACGCCACATACGTATGCAGCGACTGTCACTGGATAAACAGAAGCATGACTCATCTGAGAACATGACTTTTCGCCATTCTGTTATCCACATCGCTCCAGTCCGGCACCATTCTAAACGTTGGCGTCTATGCTATGGGGTCAAAGGCAGTCTTCTTAACGGACGCCGTGAGTACAGGCCACGTTCAACCAATCGAGGGGAAATGGTTCTGGTCGACATGGAAACATCCAGGCTATCTTGCACATGCTGCAGAATCGCGGTACAAATGACTTGCGGGACCGCCACAGCTTGTCGGAGGATGCGTCGATCCACGCGTTCTGACGTCACTCTGGCTGCACCTGCACTCCTTCTTCTTCCCACATTTTCTTGTTCCAACCATGTTTGCCATAGCCGATGCACCGTGCTCGTATCCATCTGGGTATCAGCTGCGATTTGACATAAGGACAAACCCGCCCTTCTCAGTCCGATCACCATACCCATCGTAAAATCGTCTATCTGCTGGAAGTGCCTTCGTTGACGGCGGCCTGGCATTCTCTCCTATTACATGTATCCTCCGGGACAAAAACCAACTTTCTTCGATGATTCGTATGGCAGAAGTATCGACACGAATATTGCCCATTCTTTGGAACTTTGGAACTTTGCGGTTATACTGGCTTTCAGCAGGAAATTAAAGTCCTTCTCTTGCCAGTTCCTGATGTGATCCCATGTGGGGCCTGACAGAGTAGAAACCTGAAAGAAATTTTCTCTCGTGGAGGTAGAAGTGTGCTGGAGAGAGAAAAAGAGAAAAAGAAGCACTTTGCTCCTGTACTGCTACATCTTGGATGGAATCCGCCTAGCAGGGGCCGGAGAAAGAAAACTTCGGATGACCTGTGTAAGATAGCCCGAATACTAACTGTTCATTCGTCGGAGCCAGTCACGTGGGAGGTCACCCTCCCAGAAACTGACCCCGATCGATGCTGCTTGAAAACCAGAAAACTGGAACTTAGAATTCTGAACTCAAGAGGTGGGCGGCAAATGGGCGGAGGTTTTTGTCTTCAGCCAGGATTTCGTAGATAAGAATGTCCGTGAAATTAGCGGGATTCACATTGATAATATTATTAAAAAAGTTGTTGTTTATTCTGCTGAGGTAGTCCTGAATAGTATCTATTTTCAAGTCGGAGTGGAGAGTCCTATTCCGAACATAGTAAGGAGCTTTTGTGATGATTCTTAGCACCTTATTTTGAAGCACTTGGAGTTTGCTAATTTCGTTTGCTTTGTAGTTTGCCCAGGCTGGGGAAGCATACGTGAGAATGGGTCGGATTACAGTTTCATAAATCCTCTTTTTCAGTCTGAGGGTGAGGTTTTTCATTCTTTAGGAGAGGAAAAAGCCTGAAAATGATCCCGTGTGCTTTTCCGCTTACTCTAAGCATATGATCCTTCCAATTGTAGTTCTTGTTAAGGGTAACTCCCAGGTAATTAGCTTTATCAACTGTAGGGATGATTTTGCCAAAAAGTTTAACCTCAGTTCTGACCCGTTTTCCTCTGTCTGCGATTTCGAATGAGTAGAATCTTGGACTTTTCTGGCTGAATGCACGTTTTCCAGCGACTGCACCACCCCTCAATAGCAGGGATTTTGGCCTGAATTCTTGACAAGGCATACTCTGGGTTTAGAGACTTGGTGGCTATCGCTGTATCATCAGCGTAGCTGGCTGCGAGAACATTTGTATCCTCGGAAAAGCAAGGGAAATCGTTGGTATTGGTATAGATGATGTAAAAAAGTGGGCCTAAAATTGACCCTTGAGGAATACCTGCGTAAATATTTTTGACACATGAAGTTGCATTTCCAACTCCAACGGTGTAAGTTCTATTTTCAAGGAAGGACTTGATAATGAGTATCAGATTTCTGGGGAAACCGAGATGAATTAGCTTATAAATTAGCCCTGAATGCCAGACGCGGTCAAAAGCCTTTGCCACGTCTAGCATCAGGATAGCAACACTCATTCTGTTGTGCATAGCCGCGCCGATGAACTCCGTGAGCCTGACTAACTGCGTTGTGGTCGAAAGTCCTTTCCGGAAACCGTGCTGGTGATCAACGAGAAAGTCCAAGTTTTCCTTGCATTCTGAGATAAATAATACGTTCCAGGATCTTGCTTATGGAGGACAGCAGGCTGATGGGTCTAAAGTTTGCCGGGTAATCCTGTGTTTTCCCTGGCTTAGGAATCATCAGGATGCTTGCTTGCTTCCAGAAAAGCGGGAAATAATTTTGATACAAACATGCATTGAGAATGCCTGTTAATTTGCATACGGTCTTAAAAGGCATGTTTTTCAGCATCTGGTTCGTGATCTTGTCCTTTCCTGGAGCTTTCTTTAATTTAAGTCCCTTAATAATGTTCTGCACTTCGTGCGGCGTGGTTAGTTTGATAGAAGGTTCCGTAGAAGGGGAGTGCAGCCATTGATCGTTAAGGTAATGAACTTGAATGTCCGAACTATGATCTGAGGGGAAGGAATTTGGAATGAACTGTTTAGAAAGGTGTTCCGCAAAAAGTTCCGCTTTGTCTTGATCGGAGTAAGCAAATCCGTTATCGCATTTAAGCGGTTTTCTGGCAGAGCAGGGGCGTTTTAGTGTCCTTGTATGACGCCAGATGGCGCCAGGTTCGTCGTTGATCTTTTCCATCTTATCCTGCCATAAGCTAGAAACGATGGTCCTGAATCTTTTGCTTGATCTTCCTATTAAGCCTGTTAATTTGAGTTTTGATAGCAGGATCCCAGGTGAGATTAAATTCCTTTCGGAGATGATTTCGAAAGCAGATTATTTCACGAATATTGGCAGGAAGCGTGTGCTCATGTCTGACACGGTCAACCTCAGTCGTAGCTAGGGACTTAGCAGAATGCAGGTACGAAGTAAAGTCTGTTATAGCACGTTCAATATCCGTAGTGCTTTGTAACGAGTCACAATTAAAATCAGTGGTCATCAAAGTATTATGATAAAGATTCCAATCAGTATGCTTAATTGGCGGTAGGTTCTTAGCATTTTCCACTCCAAGGTAAGCAAGCACAGGTACATGATCAGAAGACATGTCACATGTTACCGTAATAGCCATAGGAATATTGAACGTCGTAATAAAAATATCCAGAATGTCAGGCCGATGGTTGAGTATATTTGGCCTATAGGTAGGCTCATCCGGCACATGCAGAAAGACAGGGTAATTACACACAAAATCATGCACTATGTGTCCATTATAATTCGAGTTGCGGCATCCCCAGTCGAGATGCTTGGCGTTTAAATCGCCACCTAGAAAGGTGGGGAAGTCTGAGTTAATAAGTCTATCCAGAATTTCAGCACTGAGCTTGTTCCCAGGGCGGTTATACACGCACAGAAAGTGACATCCCCAATGTTGGGTAGATTCACCATCACTTTAACACTTTCCATTCCATCACAATTTTCTGCACTTTTCAGATATGAATCAAATGTCCTTTTAACATAAATGAGCACTCCGCCACCACGGTGGTGGAGTCTGTCACTACGGTAGCTGAAATAATTGGCTATCCTTAAGGAGTGTGAAATAATTGGCTATCCACTATTTGAAGGCTATCCTTAAGTGCGAAGGGTTAGCATGGGTTTCTGTAATTAAGCAGATGTCTACGTCATTTTGCTGGATAAATTCATGAAGTTCCGGTATCTTGGAGGTAACGTTCTGCGCGTTCCAGAAGCAGGATCTTAACAGGAGAACTTTGCCGGGAGGTGGGATTATCCATGGTTGGGAGGAAAGCTGGCCTGACTGTGTCCTCTATCATAGAGGCGGTAGGAAGTGAAGGCCTTCGCTACATCAGCAAACATAGAGATGGCTGTTGTGAGCTTTTGAATTACCGCATTAGCTTCGTCGAGCTTTGCTTGAAGCTCACTGAGTTGTGGGAAGATTGCTTGTGGCGCCATCTGTGGGGGAGTAGCATTACTATTGTTGACTACTCTATCTGCATATGATATGCCTTTTTGCACAAAGGATGAGCGAGGCTTGGGGTAGAACGAGCAACCTTTAAAACTGGCAGTATGAGGAAGTCCGCAATGACAGCACTTTGGTGGCACATCCTTGGGCTTGGTGCAGTCACGAGACTCATGCCCCTGACCACATTTGACACACCGTGGTGCGTGACGGCATTGACTTTGAGCGTGGTAAAAGTCTTGGCATCGGAAGCATTGCGTGATACCGCGTCTACCTCTGTATCTTTCAACTGTTATCTTTAGCCTCATAAGATACTTTAGATTATTAAAAATGTCCTTGGTTTTCTCATTCCTTTCTAGCAAGATCAGAAATAGAGGCAATTTCAGGACCTAATTCGGCGAGACATTTGTACAACCTTTTTAACAGCGTATCCTTCTGCAATGAGAGCATCTTGGATATCCGTAACTGGGGTGTCAATCGGAAGGCTACGAATGACGACTTTGATGTTTTTGTCTTCAGCAAGCTGATATGAATGAAATTTAATC